TAACAATGTAATGCTGGGATTTGATACAGTTGCCCCTCAAATACCCCAGGTAAAGGGAGCTGAGTGCTTCGATTCCACGGAAACCATGAGACAGTATCAAGACAAGTATGCTGCTATGAAGCAGCACTCTTTTTTTTCTGCCATGGAGAGAGAGGACTCGCACGTGGAGGAGACCGTGGTGTTCCTGCACAGGGACTCACCCCTGACAGAAGCATGTGCGACAGGGAGCAGGAGGGCTCTGATGGCAGAGAGCAAGGTGAGGGCAAAGCAGCCCCTCTCACAGCCTGGCCCAGGGGCTGTCGGGGTGGCCAGCGTGGGGCCCAGAGCAGAGGCCAAAGGAGGCAGGAGCTGCTCAGCCAGGCCAGGGCTGGCAGCCTCCTTCCTCCTCAAGTGGGGCCCAGCTGGGCCAGGGGGCAGCTGTTGGGAGCCCCGTGCCCGCAATGGCCGCTGCTCTCCAAGGCCTCCAGCCCTGCCCATCAGCCAGGCACGCAGGCAGGGACAGAGCAGCCCTTGGGGCCGATGCTGCGGGCTGAGAGCCCCACAGAGCTGCTGACGCCCGCTGCCATTGGCTCTGTCTCCTGCAGCATGCCTGCTGTGTCGTTGTGTAAAGGCTGACCCCTGTGCTTCCCCAGGCTCTGGCAAGTGCCCCTGTGCTGCTCCTGTGCTGCCCAGGGTACTCACGGGCGTCGCTCGTGCCTGAGAGCGACCAGAACCAGCGGGGAGTGTGACAGCTCCGCTGCCCTGGGCTCGGCTGTCAGGCCAAGACACCCCTGGGCAGGGGGCAGTGTCCTTTTGGGCCTGGCAGAGCCCGTAGGCTCCTGGAGGGCTGGGGGCACTGCTCCGGCCCAGCCTGGCCCAGGCCTGGGAGGCCTTTGACATTGCTGATTGCCCTCACAGCCTCCAGGGCTGAGCCGGAGCTCAATGGCCCCAGCCTGACCGGACAGTCTGGACTGGAGCCTTCCCGTGCTCCCCGGAGCCTGAGAGCATCAGCGCCAGCTCAGAAACACTGCCTAACCGGGTTTGACAGTATTTTTTCCTGTTAGGTCCTTGAAAGGATTTAAAAGGTAATGTTGTTTGGCAACTTCTTCAAGGAACAAATACGACATGATTCTTTTCAAGAAAGGTTTTATTAGTTTGGTTTCAGTTTCCATTTGGAATTCTTATGCTTCCTAAGACGATCCAGAAACTAATGAAAACCTAACATATTCCTAGGAGAAGTTTTTGAATCCACTACTCGCAGAAGTCTCTAAATTCACTGTTTCTCTTAAACACTTCCCTTACACCTAGTTAGCTAGCTGCTCCTGTAACAGAGAGAGATGCAGTGATTTACGTGGCTGGACATCACATGATGTTACACACACCAGTATACTAACAGCCTTTTGTTCCCTGACAGTTACAAAGCTTCAGGCTCTTCTGGAGGTCCTGAATTAATTTTGCGTGCACATCCATAGCCGTGTTCCCTCCCCATGCTCAGCATTCAGCCACAGTTACCAGGGAACAGATGTTCCATACTCACCTCAAGCAATAATCTACATCTGTCTTCCCAACCCTCTTTTTCTTCACTGAACTCTACAGATCTACAAAAAATAACTTTAGGCCCTGTGCACAAAAGAAAACACAACACCAATCAATAGGGTTCAACTCTTCTGATTCGGCTGCTGCTCCCAACAATCATGAATGAACAACACGATAAAGTCAGAAGCTCTATCCTCCACTCCCTCCTATTCTCTTGCCCCCCACCACATGTCGGCTCCAACAGAAACGTTCCCTACTGCAGCCTGGTGTACTAAGAAAAATGAAAGGCAGCAGCTGTCTCCCTGAACATGCTGAAATCTAAATTGCAGTGAAACAGCAGCTCTTGCATTAAATGCTCAGCAGCAGGATCCCACAGCTGCCCCCAGAAGTGCTGCCTGCCAGGGGCTGAGATCTCCATTCTAACACACCCTGTAAATCAGACAGGCTGGAAGATTGCAGGGCAGTAACTGTATGAACACAGCCATACATTTCATCAGCGTTATCTAACAAGTCTCAAGAAACAAACGTCATTTAAGCCTGACTTGAGACTATATTCTACAAAATAGAACAAGCAATTGTTTTGGCAGCCTGTGTAATTTTTGGGGGCTGTGTATGTTTTCTTTTGTTGTTGTTGTCTTTGTTTTTAAATCGAAAATTCATTGGGTTCAGAAGAGAAAGCCCCAGATTCATTAGGATGAAGAACCGCACGCACATATGTCACTGACAAGAGCACTCGGCATTCCTCAGATTAACACCAGAAAGATAGGAAAAAGTTAAAGGTGATAGACCTACCTGAAAGGATCCTAAATGTCTCAGTAACCTGTCTAGTGACTATATTTTTGCTAAGCTCTACAAGTTCCTATAGCTATGAGGCAATTATCTGAAAGAAAGGAAAGCCAGAAAGCTGATCAGCCTTTAGTTTTTACCAGGACTCTCTCATGGGATCTACCACAACTTTGACCACAAGAAAGCATGGCAAATTTTGACTACAGAGCATTCATAACATT